GACTGAAGGTTGGAGTCCATATTTTCTGAAGTTAGTTCCTAGGATTCGTATACACACATTCTGTTTATCTAACGGGTGGGGAACCTTTTTTCTGCCAAGGGCCATTTGGATATTTATAACATCATTCGTGGGCCATACAAAATCATCAACTTAAAAATTAGCCTGCTATATTTGGTCACATATTTAATTAATTCACCCTTAATGTGATGGCTGGAACTGCTTCTCTTTGGTGAGGCCTTGGCAGGGCCAGACCAAATGATTTTGCAGGCCTTACACACCCGAGGGCCGGATGTGCCCCACCCCTGATGCAAGCTACAGTTTAGTCAGAATCAGCATTTACAGAAACAGTGTCAACAGAATGGTGGGGTAGGTGACAACTCCCATTGTTACATCTGTAGGGATTGGTGCTCTTTACATTTTCATGAATGACTCGGGAGAGATAGGAGCAAATGTCCTAATTGTAGAAAATATTAAAATCTTCTAGATAATGAAAAACTTGAAGAGATCTGTTTAAAAATCCATCTGGAAGCTGACCAGATGCTTATGGTCCCTTTCTGTGTTGACATTCCAGAATTCGATGAGGTTGCAGCACCTATGGTTATGGTTGGCCATCTGATCCCACTATGGTGTCCCGAGTTAAAATGTTAATAACCTGTGTGGTTCTGGAGACATTAATCTTTAGTTAAGTTAACAGCAAGCTGCTAATGATGTTTTTGCTGAGGAACTCAGATACTTCCCCACTTTGGCCAAGTCAGGCTCCTCTGAGTGTGACCTGCCTAGAAAGCCCTTCCTGGATATCCATCCACACAGCTCTCCACCTGCACCTCTCTCAAGACACTGCCCAAATTTCCTTTTCTTCAGTGGCCTTCCCAGGCCACTCTTTCTAAAGCAGCATTGCTCCCCCCTCGAAATCTCCATGACATCACACTGGCTTTATTCCTGTAAATAGCACTATCCCTCTCTGACATATTGCATATTTCTTTATCATCTTCCCCTCTATGATACTTAATTTTATGTGTCAACGTGACTGGACCATGGTGCCCAGATATTTGGTCAAACATTAGGTTGGATGTTTTTGTGAAGGTATTTTTGTGATGAAATGAACATTTTAATTGGTAAACAAGTAAAGGAGATAACCCTCCATAATGTGAGTAGGCTTCATCCAATCAGTTAAAGGCCTTAATAGAACAACTGAGGAAGGAATTTCTTCTTCCCCCAGGAAGAAAGAATTCTGCCTTCAGACTGCTTTTTCCTGATTCTACAGCCTGCTCGCCTACCCCATCAGACTGTGGACTTGCCGAGCTTCCACAATTGCATGAGCCAGTTCCTCAAAATTAATCTCTTTCTTTCTCTCTCTTTCCATACACACAGTAATACATTTCACTTAGATATAAACTCCACGAGAGCAGAGTTTTTATCTGTTCACTGCTCTGTTCCAAGGCATCCGTCTGGTACTCAACAAAGTATTTGCTCAATTAATTAATTGATTAATGGAGTAGTAATATTATTATTCCCAGCAGAATATACAATTGAGTTTTCTCTGATTTTTTAATCTTTATTATGACGGAGATTTAAAATTATTTTATTCCTCTTTTTTCCCATTTGTTTATAATTTACCTTGGTATGCTAATTTCATCTAATACTCATGAGACTATATTATGAGCAGGCCCATAATTTCAGAGCTTTGATTTAACCTATTTTCCCATCTTTTCAAAAGCTTTTCTGATAAAAATGTTTTGAGCATTCAGATCACTTAGTTCTTTGTGCCTTTTCTGCCTTGTCACAGTCAAAATGCCCCAGTTTCTGCTTGGAAAGTTTGGGTTAAATCGTTGTACACTGCAATCTTGAATTAATGCAATTTTTTAAAAAAATACAAGCTATATAGAGCACTGCTTACATCTCATCATGTAGCAGTCACAACATGCTCTTCAGACCCATTTTTCTTTTTTATTCTTGACATAATTTTTTGATGTTGAACGAAATAAGAAGTGTTGCCAGAAATTTGACTCTGTGAAGCAGGTGTGGGCAAATATGAGAGGAGGTTGGTGTCTGTGCTTCGTGGCCAGGATATGTGTGTCTCTTCAGTGCTCCACTCCAGGAGTCACATTGCTCGGATTCTTAATGTATTTTGCACAGTAGATATTGATTTCCAGTTAAAAACTTCAAAACTAAAAACAAGTCAGAAAGTACATTTCTTTTAGGCAGCTCTAGAAAGCTGAGTATATGCACAGTTTTTCAGAAATAGCACTAATGTAACACTCCACAAATATAAAATGTGCTATGCCCCTGATCACTTGATTATTTAAAGCAAAGACTGTGGGCCTGCTTATGATATAGTCTCATGAGTGTTAGATGAAATAAGCATACCAAGGGGGATAGGGCCCTCTAGCCATGGGATGGACACACACACACACACACACACACACACACACACACACACAGAGTTGGGTATCAACTCTGGATGCCTTTCCCTTGTCAATTTTGACTAGCTCAATACCTATAAATCCCTTTGAGTTTGAATCTCTTCTGTTTCTGAAGAGAAATGAGAACTGAAAGAAAAGGAAAGCAGTAATGTCTCACTATTAAGTCCCTCTTACAGCAACCGAGGCGGCCGACGGCAGAAAAGAATTGCTCCTGCTCGGTTTGGTTGCTTAGAGTTAGTTTTCCACTCTCTGTTGCAAATAAGACTTACTGATCTAGCTACAGAAAGATTTTATACTGATTTGAGAATTTTCCTGTGCTGGCAATATCTGGAATGTTAAATGGTTAGTATATTTAATTCCAGGCTACCAAAGAGCAGTGAGGTAGTAATGGAATAAGGATCTTAAAATGTGAATGATTTTCATTTGAAAGCCCTTCCCATGTTAGCAATTTGGTATGCTTTCAGTCGCATTATTGTTTTCTGGAGTGCCAAATCCAATTACTATTTATTAGCTATAAATTCTCTGATCTAGAAGGAGAACTGATATTAACAGGATGACAGGATGACCTGTAGAGAAACTAAAAAGTAGGGAACTGTCATCCTGAGAAGAGAAATTGATGCTAATAAAATTTTTTGTTCAAAGCTTCATGAAAAGATCATAGATTCAAATGTGTTTTTAAAAGTAAGAGTCATGCAAATATAAAGTGTAAAACATCCCCGTTATTAATCTATTACACATAACATGCCTATGTGCAAATCTGCTTTTGGAAACTACACATTCCATTTTTATTACAATGTTTTTCATCCCTGACCCTGGCACATAGTAGGTGCTCAAGAAATGTCTGTTGGATTGAAGAGTCTGTGGTTTGATAGTGAAGACAGCATGTTTAGACATAATTCCTCTGCTCTGTGTCTTAGTTTTAGCTGTTCTTACATAGAATTATTCATATATGGGGAGTAAGCTATATTCTCTGGTAAATTCACCTGCCTCTTGTGTATAAGGGATACAACACTGCAATAGGAGTTGGGAGACTTAGACAAGTCCTAGCTCTCTATCTTTTGCTAAGGAGTGACCTTGAACAAGTCAGATATTTTCTTGATATTTTGGTGTCATTTTCCCTCTTGGAAGACTAGATATTAGTAATGCATTTTAAAATACATTCATCTCAGGAGAAGAGTGGACAGCCACATCTTCCTGATTCCTGCTTTGGAGGTCTGTGGTATCCTGTGACCTGAAGGGGATACAGGCTTTGGTGACACAAGAGGAATAGCTGAAATGGAAGAGGCAGGGACTCTGTGGCAGTGATTTATATGTGTAGAACATTTAGTTCTCTTGATTCAGAAGCTGTCAGTGTTATTACTGTACCATAAAATACAAAAAATATATATGCCATGAAACTATGAAAAATGACCTTGAAGAAAAAAATCCCCAGAACTAATAGTTTAAATTTTTCTGATGTGTGGCAATAAAATTTACATATTCCACATAAGTTGAGAGATTTTTTGAATTTATGTTTAGAGAGACAAAAAATAAATACTAGGAAATCCAGGAAAAGAAGCAACTAGAAATTAATCCCAAGTGCTCCCAAACATTTTTTTTTTTTAAATCCTCACCTGAGGATATGTTTATGGATTTGAGAGAGAGAGAGAGAGAAACATCAATTGGTTGCCTCACATGCATGTCCCAACTGGGATCAAACCTGCGACCTGGGTATGTGCCCTGACCGGGAATCGGACCCCCAACCTTTTTGGTGTATGGGATGCTCCAGCCAACTGAGCCACCCGGCCGGGGCCCAAACATTTTTGAGGGCTCTAGTCTGTAACAGATAAATTTGACACAACATCACTTAGACTTATGGGCTTTTTTTCTCTCTAGAAGAAAGGAACCAAAAATAGATTAAAGATTGGCTCTCTATTAAGTGAAGTTCATTTTTTCCTGAATAAAGGTGAAGAAAATTCTGTTAGAATTATTGTATGATTTGATAATCAGAAGGATTGATCAAAACTGTTGATTCTATGGCTATGTATAAAAAGGGAAGAAAATAGAATGTGCTATAATCCTAGTGTCAGGTTTGGAAGAAATGATCACTTTTTATCTTCACAATAACCCTTAACCCTTCAAGACAGGGAGTACAGATGAGGAAATTGGGGATCAGTGAGGTTATATAAGTTGCCTAAAGTCACAGTGTTGGCGGCAGAGCTGGGATTCAAACAGCCGTCATTTTGAAATGTCATGGTTTTTCCTATTCCACTTTGCTGCCCCTCAGTAGAACTTTATAATAATAACAATAATAATGAATAATAATACTACTTCCTGAGCACCTATTTATTGTGAGTCAGGAATTGTACTAAGACCTTTAAATGCATTATTCTATTCAATTAACAAATACACGAAGAAGAGATTATTTCCAATTTATAGATTTAAAAAAAACAAAGGCTCAGAGAATTTAAGTGACTTTGACCCAGAGTCACCAGGCCAGTAATTGGGAGCCAGTGTTTACTTTTGAGCCCAGAGCCCTGGCTCCTACCACTCATGATGCTGTTTCTAGGGTAGTGTGGAGAGCCCAAGATCTGGTCAATGGATCTGCTCCTTTTTCTGGAGGTGAGTCAAAGATAGATGGAGCCCCGCACTGATTCTGCCTGTTTACTGTGGCAAATCCAGCCATTTGGGCAGTTGGTCCTTGCTTACCAAGCTGTTTAGTTCAGAAGTCAACAAAATTCTCTTCATGCTTTTCTTTTGCAGATACTTACCTTTCTTGCTGGATCATTGACTAAAGGTGGCAGTGCCCAAGTGACTAATAGCAACTCTGAGCTGTTGAAATGGAGTAAGAATATTACCAAAAGGGAGGCTGGGTGCCCGGAAGGCCAGCAACGTCAGGGACAATTCTGCTGCCTACCATGTCTTCCTGGTATGTTACACACACATCCAGCAATTAGAGTGAGAGTCAGAGTGAGGAATAGCACATAGTAATAATGAAGGAAACGTTTTTACAGTGTTTGGTTCTCCTGCATAATTGCATTACTGAGAAGAAAAACCAACTATGAAATTATTTTCCCAAGACCAGTTCAATTCACCTTTATCACACTTGTTTGATGTGGGTATAAACAAATATATTTTACAAATGATATGTACTTCTGAGAATGATTTATCTATTTAGTTGCATTTTCCATTAGCAAGAGAAGACTCATTTGTGAATATTAAAGCTCATCACCTCCGAATTGATTAGAACATATCATAAAAATTGTGGCATTCTGAAAGCAAGTATCTCAGTACTTCTGCTCAATGAGAAGACACTGAAGCATGCAAAATGCATTTGCATTTGCAGCTTAATAACTAGCTGAGCTAGAAAAGCAACAGACAAAACCAACGGTTTTTAAAAATCAGTATTTTGAAATGCAAACCAGTTTCAGATCAGAAATCCTTCAAACACCAGCAAATTAGAAGCTAAGCAGAATGCAATTGTGCAAGCGTTTTTTCAACATAGTTGACCATGGTTTCATACAGACATGAGTCTCTTCTTGCTGCTTTGTGAAGTAAGACAGGAAGATAAAAGAAAACAACATGTGGATTTATGTGACAGATTCCCAGAATCATAAAGAATTGTAGTAGGGTTTCATGGTTGGCCTCCCAAGATTCCAGCCTTCAAACAGCTGAACAGGAATGGGTCATGTTTATAAGAAGATTTTACCAGTCTCCCTTGGCCTCCTCGCCAGCTTTTAATAACCCTTAGGAAAGATCTCCCTTATAATCCAACTCTTTTGTACTTAAGCCCATTTACTCTTCTCCAAATGGGAATAAAGAATGGCCTCCTGAATTTTGATAACTTGCTCAGTGCAATCAGTTTGTCCTATGAATTCAGATCGTTCATATTTTTTAGAACCTAAAATGCAAATTAAAACCAAGACAATTTGCTCTGCATGTCAAACTGTCAAGGATTTTTGTCTGTTTGCTTCTTTTGTTTTACTTTGTTTTACTTTCATTTAAGGAGTGATCTCAGCCTTGGTGAGTTTGCTGATGAGATAATAACTTTCATATACTACTATTTCTTTTTAAGAAAGAAATTTGGATATGTGGGTCAAAAACTTGAAAAAGTTTTTACCTACTGATTTATAGGAAAATGCCTTAGGAAAATAGTCAAAATAAAGGAAAATACTGTACACATGACATTTCATTATGATACCCAATGATGTGGAATTAAGTAAATTTTGGAGTTGTCAAATGCTGGAATATTATGTTCAATCTAAATCTTGTTTTTTTAATATATTTCTAATAAGCTCCTCAATGTACATATATTCCCTTAATGGATTTATAGCTGATCTGCTGGCTGAATTAATTGATTCTCTCTGCTCCGTCTCTAAAATATCCTGGACGGCATCCAATGCGTGCTGAACACTCCTCCCACTTCTACTCCTTCTGGTTGAATTTTAGGGTTTGTCAGTATTCAGATTGCTTCCAAATCTGTTTATGCTTATGGGTGTTGTGATAGAAATATATGATTTAGTTAAATATTATATAATCAATGGTATATAAATACAAAGAGAAGGCAGATTTTATTTCTGCCAAAACTAGTTTGAATGCTGGAGAACTTCCGTAAAGTTGAGTTGCTAAACTGAGTTGATGAATTAGGTGAGGGCAAAATCAGTGGAAAAAAATCTTAAAAATCTTGGAAGCCTTTCATACAGATTATTAATGTCTTTAAATTTTCTTTCCATCAAAGGAAAGGAAAGGAAAGGAAAGGAAAGGAAAGGAAAGGAAAGGAAAGGAAAGGAAAGGAAAGGAAAGGAAAGGAAAGGAAAGGAAAGGAAGAGGGAATGAGAGAGAGAGAGAGAGAGAGAAACCATAGGCGATGCATTTTGGATATGATTTTAGTAAGAAAGAATCTGGAATTCTAATAACTTTGTTCTACATCACAAGACTGACAAATAATTATATAGCTATACTCTATAAATTAAAATAAAATACAGTATTTCTTTAGTGATTTTCAATCAAAAAAGTCTTTACCACATCACCATATCCACTAAGAATTTTACAGTGTATTGTATATGTCACATACATATTTACATGCACATATTACGTATATATACACTCATATGTATATGTATATATATGTATATTGGTATTGTAGGAATGCACCAAAATGATAACAATGAATATCTCAGGTTAACTGATATATAGGTGCTACTTGTACTTTCCTGCCTTTTCCAAATTTTCCACAGTGAGCATATGTACAATTATACTCAGAGAAAAATTTATTATTTTCAAGAAAACACCTACTCATTTTTTATATTTTGATAAATTTAAGTTGTGTACATTGGAGCAAAGAAAAAACCTGTGATTTATTCTATCCCTGTCATGCCGTAGGCATTGTGCTGGGCATATTCTGCAAGGTAGTTCATCAAAGAGGACAATTCATTTAGAAACCAGGATAATATGACTGACAAGCAAATAAAATTGTACTTTGGCTTGGTTTTAAGTGTTGCCACAGTGTTATAAAACCCCAGTGCACTATGTTTCAATTAGATTCCTGGTTTCCATAGTTTGCTTATTTTTTTCTATTGATGGAATAGTGTTTTTATTTACTAAAATGCCATACATGTTTAAATTAATTTTATCATGTAGTAAATATTTTGTTTTATCAAAAAGAATGCTGTGAGATTGTTGAGAAAGTCATGTACCTAAGAAAGACAGCGTAAGTTATTTTTCCTGTACATGTGCATAGGGCAGATTAGACTTTGCTTGCTCTTAATTAGTTATATTAGTCATTGGAGTCACCAGTCATGCTTTTCTCTTAGATTCCCCTCTATATTTTCTTTCACTTTCTTCTTCATTATTTATCTTTATTTTGCCCTAATCTAGTTTTCCCCATAGCACTTATCACCACTTGATATCATATACTTATTTGTGTGTTGTGTGCTTCTACCCTGAGAATGGGAAGTCTTGGAGACCAAAGCTTTATTTCCTGTAGTGCCTCCAGCTCCTGGGAAGTGCCTTGAACACAATAGCCTTTAATAAACACTTGTTAAATAAATTAAATTTCCAGGAGAAGGCATTGTTGTATAATGCATACTAATAGCAATATAATAACTTGTTTTATTTTTAAAGTAAATGAAAGTAAATGCGAATATTATTTGAAATGTGTACATTAAGATAATAAATCTGATGATAAATTTTGTTACAAATATGTTCATACCTGCCCATCAAAACATACTCTGACCCTTAATGGCAAAGGGGCAGAAGGAAAGGGAAAAGAGAAGGGACTGTGAGCATTTTCGAGCCAGGTCCTGTGCAGTTCTGGGAGCAATGCAAGAGAAGTGCTATTATCTCCATCATATGCATGAAGAAATGTAGGCTCAGAGGGAGTAAGCACTTTCTTAAAGATCATGGGACTACTAGAGATTTGACCAAGGTCTTTAGAACTTCAAATGTCCTTTTCCTTACACTATACTCTTATCAGGATCTGTGGACTTTGGAAAATAAAATGAGAATCCAGAGCAAGGTGAATGCCTTAGGTCATCTCAGTGGCCAGTGGCGGCCATTTCCACCGTGAATACATACCTACAACCCCTCTCCTCCCCCACCAAAAAGTTAGTAAAGGCATTTTCCCCAGTGCATTTGGTCATTCTAGCTTCCTTTCCCCCTGTCACATCACCCTATTTCTGTAGGCATATTCCTTCAGTCACTCATTCAGCTTTTGTCTTGGGAGACTTTCTGCCTCTTGACATGATTTTTTAGAATAACCCTCCCCCCTCTTGTGTTTATAGATCATTAGCCCAGTTCCCCTTTTCTAACATTTTACTCTCATCCTTGCATACTTCCCGTGTTGTTACATTCAAATACTTTCTCCATTATTTTTTTTGGCAGGTGAACGAAAAAAAAGTGACTGCGGAGTCAATGGGGACAAACTAGTCTGCGTGTCCTGCCTGGAAGGGGTGGAGTTCACAGACAAGGAACATTATTCTTATAAATGCAGAAAGTGTGGAATTTGTGATGGAGAACACGGTTAAGTGTCTTAACAAGCAATTCAAAGTGTCCATTTGTGGTACTCGATGTAGAATCACTCATAACATGCCTGTAATTGGAAATTGGGACCTATTCTGATGCCATGTTGGTGTACAGGAAGGGACAAGATGGGGCTGATGGGTGAAGCAGGACCAGGGACTGAGCTAATCACTGGGCTAGACGCTTATCTGTAGGAGACTGACTGAATGTGAACCCTGTGAACAAGGTTCGTAAGATCCAATCAAAAAATGCAGAAATTTTTTTCCCATCTTGATTTATGCTTGTGTAGTGGCTTTCGTTCATGGCCAGAAAAAGCTCAGAAACCTTCAGATCTAAGGACAAAGGATCTTGAGAGGTGGGTGGGATGCTCCACCTTCTTTGGGGATTGGGTTTGTCCTGATAATTCCAATTGGGGCCCTATACTTTCATGACTGTCCCACTCTATTTTGAGGGCCCAGATTAAAATATAACAGAAGTACTCCCACTTTTGCTTGACATTAAGAAGTCTCTGGACATATTTCTTGTCTCGATTGGAGCCCTAAAGCAATGTTTCTCAACCCTGGCTGTACATTAGCATCACATAGGGAGCTGTGAGAAATGCCAATGTTTAGGTCCCACCTTAGACCAATTAAATCAGAATCTCTGAATGTGGGCTTTGGCAGTGGTCTGCCTGCCGAGGTTGGGATGAGGCCTGACAATCTGCATTTCTAATAAGCTACCAGGTGAAGCTGATGCTGGTGGTCCACAGGCCACACTTTGAGTAGCCAGGCTTTAGACTAGAAGAACAGGGGAGCTACTTAAACAAAGGTGTGGTTGTGTGGGTTGCTAGATTGTCTATCCACTTAAAACTCTGCTGAATGATTTCAACCATTTCAGCCTGGGGTTGCCTGTTTTGCATTTAAACACTAGTTGTATTCCTAAACAGTACTTGTATTCATGATGGTGTGACTGTTCATGTAAGCAGTGGATCTCAAAAACCTATTCAGCTCCTGCCCATCATTTTCATAGCCAGTTTATAACTAGCTGCTATAACTAATTGTCTGCAAATTGGATTTCTAGGCTTAGAAGTGGAAACAAACTGTACCAGGACCCAGAATATCAAGTGCAGATGCAAATCAAACTTTTTTTGTGACACTCCTCCATGTGAACACTGTAACCCTTGCACCATGTAAGTTTTAATCATTTTCTGATTAAAACACTAGATATACTTTGAGAGGTATATCTTCCTAGGGGGAAACAACACAGTCTGAGAGTCAAGAATTTGGGTTCTAGTCTTGCTTTGCCTCCAAATAACTAGATAGCCGTTTGTTCATTCAGATATCCAGTCTCCAGACATGTATTGAATGCCTCCTGCGTGCTTGACACTGCTGGCCGCTTAAGCTAACAGTATGAGCAAGACACATCCCTGGCATCGAAGCTCTAAGGCTAGAGGCAGAGAGAGTGAAAAAAGGCATGGTTATTGATCAACTCCATGTGGCACTCATCAGCAGAGACTCGTGCCTAGGGTGTTATGTGTTATACAGAACCTTTCAACCCTGCTTGGGAGGTTCAGTGAAGATATGGCACATGGCTTGAGTCTTGAAGAAAGGTGTACATGGATCTAAAGGATATTTCAGGAAGGAAAACAACAGCTGCAAAGAGACAGAGGACGCTCCAGAGAACAAGGTATCTGGCTGGAGTGTAGGAAAGACTGAAAAGGAGCCAGGGCCAGATCATGGAGGGCCTTGTCTTTCATGCTGAAGCACCTGGTTTAGACCCAAAGTTAGAAAACCTGATTGGGCATCTCATTTTTCTTCTGATTAACTGAGTGTGTTTGAGCAGATCACTTAACCTCTCTGAGCTTCAGTTTCCTCACACATTAGGATGCAGATAATTGTCACTTGTCTTACTGGTCTCATTTCTGTGAAGATCAGATTGAGTAATATGTATTATAAAAATAGCTTTTACTTTGTAAGACATTGTTTTGCATACATGTAAATATAATAAGGTTATATCAATGTACCTCCCCTTGAACTTGTAATTCATCTTAGGAATCATTTAGGAGTTCACCTAGTAGACTTGAAAAGTAGGGGCATCATGCTCGATGTCTCTTATTTACTGGAAAAAATTAAAGGTTTGTGCAATTAACCTAGCTTCTCCTTTCTAGCCCCAAGTGCCTGAGACAGCCCTCATGATGACAGAAGTAGGAATTGGGGTTGGGGGAGGGACTAATGTAAGTCAAATAATAACAATAATAGTAGTTCTAAATACTTCATAATCTTCGTTTAACTTTTTTCTCACCATAGCCTTTTCAAGCAGATAATATTGTCTCCTTATTATTGCTGAGAAAACAGGCTCATGGTAATTAAGTGACTTGCTCAAACTACCTAGTTAGACAATGGGCAGAGCCAAGCTTTAATTCAGACTTGGTCAGTGTTTGACTATCAGAAGAAAACCCACAGAAACCTCTTGAGTGTCCTAATCACCACTTGATGTTAAAAGGCAAAGCCTCTAAGGGCCTGCTGAGTAGGCTCCCTCAGTAGCATCATGGGCAGTGGCTATTGTCTGGCCATTTTTATTGTTCTATGGAACTGCCTTGAAATTGTTTTTGGTAGCTTATGATTGTCTCCTAGTATTTTAAGAGCACAGCTCATTCCCAATTTTAAGTTTGTGCTAAGGTCTATTTCATTCTTTTTCTTATATGTCAACACTTCATTACCTTCCTTTAACTCTGGGTATTTTAAAACATAGTCATTCTTTGTTTATCCAAACATCCAAATTATGTTACAAATCTTTATCAGCTTTAGATGCTAATCTAGAAATATTTGAGGGAATATGTTTGCCAGAGATGCAAAAATCAGTATAATGGCCCCAGATTTATAGTGTGTCATTGAAAGTGATCAAGGAATCAGCCTACCAGCCTTTTTGAATTTCCTCTATATTTTTTTCTAGGTGTAAACATGGAATCGCTGAGGATTGCACAGCAACCCAGGATACCAGATGTAAAGGTTATTATTACTTTTTTAATTAATATACTCTCCTTTCTCTTATTTTCACAGTAAAATATGAAGCCAATTCCTTTTGATTCTTTGAGAGTACCTTGTTTAATCTTAAAGATGGCTTATTTTCATGTAAAATGTCCAATGTTTCAATCTATAGGATCCAGCAATAACTACCTGTGGTTCTTGGTCCTGGGCCTGATTCCAATTGCATTCATAGTTTGGTGTAAGTTCTTACTTTGTTCAAGTTGCACATTGAAATAACTTGGGAAGTACTTGTTCAAAGAATTTTCCTGTCTCCTACCTATAAGAAAGCTTCTACCAGGTAGGTAGCTAGTTCTGTTATATTTTTAATTCCTGCCACTAAATGCATTCACGAGAGCTGATAGGAATAGATTATATCCCTCAGCTACTGTTTTTGAGCAGCCTTTTGGGGGCATTGAGTAGGCTTTTCCATACGCCCTATGTTTTTATGCAGGCAGCAGCCAGGTTTGCCAAGAATCCTTCACTGTTCATCGAGATTACACCAGGCATTAAAAGAACACAAGGAGCAAGGGCCAGCTGGTGTGGCTCAGTGGTTGAGCATCAACCCATGAACCAAGAGGTCACTGGTTCGATTCCTGGTCAGGGCACATGCCCTGGTTTCGGGCTCAGTCCCCAGCAGGGGACATGTGGGAGGCATCCAGTCTGTGTTTCTCCTTGCCGATGTTTCTATCTCTCTATACCCCTCCTTCCTCTCTCTCTAAAATCAATAAAAACATAAAAAAAAAAAAAAAGCAAGGGCCTTCCTGGGAAAGGCATTGCAGGGGACACTTGATAAATTCATCCCTCTCCATGCCTCCTCACCCTTGTTCAAACTCCATGATTTTTTATTATTTCTCCATCATAATTTACAATATTGTGCAATACATTTTATGCAAGGGTTACCTAGTAAAATCATCAGATAAGCCAAAATTGGGTGTAATTATAATTAGTCCAGAAAAATCCCTTTAAATCATAAAATACACGGTGGTACAACATTCAATCACTGAAGCATTCAGTCTTTCCTTCTCTGTTGGAATAAGCCTCTGTTTCTTCAGTTCAGTTGAAGGTAAAGAGGTTTCCTTGCCTTTAGAGGTTGTTCAGCTAAAAATAATACAGTACTCTATGTTTAAACACTAAAACCATGCTTGCAGACTTACAGATCCCTTTCTTCCATCTCTTACTGACTTTAAGGCATATATTCATTGAGTGTGTATAGTTGAGTTATTTATAAGTGCATGTAATTGAATTTCTGGGCATTAAATGCCACTCCTTGGCAAGCTGAGGTCAACTTTCCATATCTTATTCTTCTATGCCCTGCTGTAGCCATGACATCAGCTCCAAGTTGGTGAGAGGGAATGGTGATGACATATAATAACCAGAAGCCAGCTTCATGCTAGGTCAGTGTGAGGTATTGGACATCTCAGTTAAGATGTGGCATATCTCTAGAACACTTGACCTGGTGGGCTGGGATTGTCCAAAATCAGGACAATGCTGTCTCTTGGGTGTTCGGTCACTTTAAGTTTCAATGAATTTCTGCTTCTTTCTCACGCTTCTCTAGTGTGAGAGCAGTGCTTCCTACAAGGCTAGGACCTGAGTCTGATAGAAATTTCTTTCAGTTTTAGCTGTGAAAAGACGGCACAGGAATAATAATGTTCACTGTGAATCTACACCTGAAAATACTGTAAGTGTTGAAACATGCATCCGCTTTCTTAAAAACATAGAGAAAGTAGTAATTTAACTTTTTATTTGCCACTTTTAAAAAATAGTGCATCAGCTTTCTTAAAAACATAAAGTAATAATTCAACTTTTTATTTGCCACTTTTAAAGAACAAACATTTATTATGTGTGTGTACGCATGAGTTAGAGGGCATCAAAAAATAATTCAGATATGATGCCCAATTTTAAGTAAGCTCCACACAACAGAAGAGTTAACAAAGGGCTCAAGTGGGAGGGTGCCCAAGGTGGGCTGGGTAAAGTCAGTGGCCAAGCGCCTGTTGCGCGCTGGTGTTATCCTTGCAGGAGACTGCAGACACCCTGCCCCAGGGCAGGGGCTCGGGATCCAAGCCCAGGCACAGAGATGGCTCTCAGAGCCCATTATAAGGGCACAGCTCAGCTTTCTCCAGCCACTTGTTACCATAGCTCTCACCATATTTTTTTTCCGACATGGGAGCAAAGCATTTCAAGTAGCGTAAGTTACACAGGGAAGAAACCCAAGTTCACTTCATGAATAATGATTTTCTCATTTGGGGCGAGGGCTCAGTGGGAGTTAGGTTTTTTTTAAATCAACATAGTACAAAATAATTTCAATTTAAATCATTTTCTCATGTCAAAAATAAGAATAGTTACAGTAAAGAGAATTTTGGAATGATAATGTTTAGCATGTTTCATGAGTCTATGTGAAGCATAATCTCAACACATTCCTTGAATGTGTAAAAAATAAGCCAATATTCCTTAGTTTCTGGCAATGCTGGAACCTTTCAGAATAAAAATTTGAATGATGAAAGAATCCTTTTTAATCACTTAGTCTAGCTAATTTTATATGTCAAGCAACTGATTATACTTCCTTCAGTATTAAGGAAGAATTAAAAGATTACATTTTGACTATTCTAAATATATTTTTATCTTTTCCTTTCCCTCCATGCGTTTCTCTCCAGGAAATGTCCCCATTGGCTTTAGCAGGTAAGGCTTTTATCATTTTATTTCGTAGAGATGGCTTCCATAGGAGCAGGAGGCCAATTTTAGAGTAAGATAATGTTGCTAATTTCAGTGAAATATTGTGGGGTCTTGCTATTTGCTATTCTTTAAATTTACAGTTCTTTTTACCATCAAGGGTTTCTCAGGCAGTTTGTTTAAATTTATAACTAATATTCCTAGTTAAAAATAAATCAGCTAGCAAGGAGGCACGATATTCTGAGGCTTTGGAAAATTTTTCTTTACCAACATTTAGGTATCTTACAGAACTCCTGCCTAACTTGACTTAGAGGTTGACCTGAATTATAGACTCAGTTATTATTGGTGTGTTCCAGCTCTGTAACAACATTTATAATTCTACTCAGTTATCATTTTTGAGCTGTGATTCAGAAATAAGAATGATCATAAACTCTTCACCTGTCTATTAGGTTTGTAGGTCATTGAACATCAGATCCATAGGGGATGTTCGAGGTGATCTTTTCCAACCCTTTCATAGATGAGAAAAGAAGACACAGAGATGTTATGTATCTTGCTCAGGTCATAGAGCAAATTACTGGGGATATAGGAGGAGCTGGGATTAGAAGATAAGGTGGTTTCTGTGTTTGGGTTTCACTATCAGCTCTTTAGATCTCTAGGACTAACCTGTATTCTTAAATACTACAAGAGGAGAAATAAACATGGTTTCAGTCATGGAAATTTCATTCACAAGAACAAATTTTCAGAGACTATTCTTTTTTTTCAGACATCGACTTGGATGAACATATGAGCTCTATTGCTGAGCAAATGACATTCACTCAAGTTAAAGAGTTTGTTAGGAAGAATGGTATCAGTGAAGCCAAAATAGATGAAATCAAGAATAACTATCTCCAAGATACAGCTGAACAGAAGATCCAGCTGCTCCGTAATTGGTATCAATGTCACGGGAAGAAAGGTGCATGTGTCACTTTGATTACAAGTCTCAAAAATGCCAATCTTTGTGCTCTTGCAGAGAAAATTTCCAATATAGTCCTAACGAACAGTGTTAATGGACATGAAAATGCTAACATCTAAAACAGAAATGAAAGCCAAAGTTTGGTCTAAAGTGAAAAACAACTCACTCAGTTTTGAGTCTAGACAACCAATAGAAAAATTTGTGTTTGAAAATGTTAGGTGGACGCTGAAAATGTTGCTTGACTTTTTACTAGGTATGTTTTCTTTTTTACATTTATTAGACTTGCAGAGCTATATATTTACGGGTTTCAAGGATCTCCTGATTTTACCTTCAAGGATGTTTAAAATTTAGACAGGCATGGTTAAGAATAAATGCAGAGGTATGTTAAGTATGCAAATAGGTGTGTTTGCAAAGACAAAACATTGGAATCATGCGCTAGCATCTAATGTATGATTCTGTAGATGCAAATATAATTATGGTATGTGAATACAAAAGTCCATCTACAGGCTGACCCCTTTGATGAATCAACAGAAGCTATGACCTCTGATGCAACGTCACAATCACTGGAAAGGCAACTCTGCCTCTAAATTACCTGCCCAGCTCCAGGATGATTCCAGAGGTTTTACAACGTTTGTCAGTTTTGTTTCCAACTCTGAGCATATTCAGGGAAAGCTTGTGTGTACCTCTGAAAGCAGAATTTAAATAAGGTTCTACTTCAAAGATGCTTACACAGATTATTGGCATTTCATTGTGAAATATTTCAATTTTGAATTCACATAGAAAACACAGACTCCGTTATCATGCTTGAAATTTTATATTTGTATGCCCTCCAACTGGATCAAAATAACTGACTTCCTTCTCAGGTGCCAAAACATGTCGATCAGGAAGCATTCCTAGAGCTTTGCCACCTCTCCATCTTTTCCTTGATGTACGTCTTGATTGTCTTTACACTCCCAAACCTGAAAACAATATCTGTGAAATACAGTGAGCCACCAAAAGCCACTGCTGCTCTTAGAAACTCCTAGCCAGGTTTGGAGAGACTCACTGCTCTTACAGAAGGTAGTTTCGTGGCATCTCACGAACCCATGTCTACCACCAAAGTTGATATGTAGATTCTTACTTTGCTCTGTCCCTTGCTAAGAATGCAGCTTATACATAGTGAAGGTGAAATCATCCCCAGGTTTTAGGACTTGTTCTTGCTATTTCCTGCAGCTTCTCCCCACTGTCACATCCTTAGACACTTCAAAACATGTACATTAATGTGAATTTTAGTAAATAATATTTATATTTGTATATATGTAAACTGAAGATGGTTACAAACTGAAATGGATGCTTCAAACGACCTAAATAGCTTCCACGGATGGAAGGTTTGTATTTGGAAATATAAAATATAGGTGAAAGTGTTTAATTAAAATTTTTTTTTGGTATTTCTGGTTATTCCTTTTTTGTTGGGTTCTTGTGTTTTGTGTGTTTGTTTCCATTTTCTCTAACTACGGCTACATGTAATCTCTTTATGGGTCTTCAATGCTTTCTTTGGCCTCTCAGGAAGTATTTACCTTTTAAGCTCCTTTCGGTAGTGAGAGGATACCCTTCATAGGCCATTGCTGCCAAGAAAACCCTTCCCAACAACACGTTATTACTGATTATGTGAGGATCGATTATGGCAGGATCTATGTAAGGCGCTGGAAATGTGGCTAGAAAGTAAATATTTCAAAAGGTGGGTTTTAGTCATAAGAAAGCTCAACAGGGATTTTGAAATAGTCTTTCCTGTATATTTCCCATTGTGGCTACTTGGTTACCACTGGACTCTCTCCCTTTTAAAATTTAATTTTAATAATATATATATTTAACCCATTATTCCTAAAGTATTATTTCAACATGTAATCAATACAAAACCATTAAGGAGACAGTCTGCATTCTTTTTTTCATACTAAAGCCTTCAGCTTTCAACATCTAGTTCGTATTTTATTTTTACTCACAAGCACATCTCAGTTTGGAATGGCGCGTTTCAGAGACTCCATAGCCGCATGTGGCCGGTGGCTACCACAGTAGATGGTTCGGGTCGGTGTCTTCGTGAGGACAGGCGTGGCAGCCTTGGCTCTGTGGCGGCTGGTCTAGCCCTGCTAGGGGAGCCCAGACTGCCTCGGTCTGTTCACTGAGGCTTCTTCACTCCGGTTGGTTGCAAAGCCACCGCCTCTCACCTCTGTGTTAGCTTTGGGAATTGTGTGGCCTACAGCACCCCGTAGTTCTTTGCCTGGCTCTTGGTGTCTTATCTCTGCACGTGCACACAGTATTCAGTCAAAGGCTCCAGAGAACCTCTGTACAGATTTCTGGAGCTCTTTTTCTGCATAGCTTCCTTCTCAGTACTTTGTTCTGAAAACCCTGGCAGCTTCTATCTCCTCAAACCTGTGCTCCTCCACTCAGCAATCTGTCAGTGCTCTGCTTAAGGTCCCCTCCTGTCCCAGGGTCTGGAAAGTGCCTCTGGGCAGAAAGTCTGAGTGATCACAGAACTCACCTCATTAGTTTCTTTTCTCTGAAGGATCACAGTCTGTGCTGCCCATTGTCCCGTTTGCCAGTGGTAGACAGCAGGGGGGCAAGTCTGGCACTGGCTATTCTTCATAGCCAGAAGCAGAAGTCCTGCTTTGCAAGGCGAAATCGAGTTAGAGATCATGCTGTGCCCACTCTGTGAGTTCCAGCCAAGAACTTGGGGTTCCCTTGGGAGGAAGACAGAAGTTGAGAAGGCCCTTGGACTTGGTGGTTGGCTCTTTCCCTCTTTGTTTCACCCAAGCAAGACTGCTCCCATGTCAACAATCACAGCTGTGTTCCCGAGTTTGAGGTTCTTAACTGCTCTTCTGTCTTTCACTCTTGCCCCTCCGAGCCATATGCCAAACAGCAGCCACCATGCTCTTTCCAAATGGCAGACTTCATTGTGTTTCTTCTCTGCTTAAAATCCCATGTGGTTTCCCATTGCTCTTAGAATAGCCTGCGCTTGGTTTACGAGTCAGTGTCATGTCCTGTGGAACACCACCCCAATGTCTGAACCATGTATAATGCCATTTTGTAAATAGTGGTTTTCTCTCCCTTGCTAGGCTATGAGCCACCTGAGGGCAGAAAGCATGATTCACAGAGGAGGTGCTCATTCAATCAATATTTCTTGAATGAGCGAGTTAATGAAGGAATAAGTGTATGCACTAGTGCACTAGTCGTTTGTGTTGGTTTGTGACTGCCTTTTGGTAGGAAAGTTAATAGTGAGTGGCTGATCACTTACTATAGGGGGAGCCTCATCTTTTTCATAAAAAATGATCATGTCATTGAATTTATCACATGTATCCAAGGCCTTTCAAGATGCTTCCTCTCCCTTGGTGTCACCCCAGCCTCCTACTTCACAGCTTCCTTGATGCCCCACACTTCTTGTTTCTCACACATTATTCTCAGTCCAAATCCTGTCCTTGACTACTTGCACCCTGTGCTCCTCTCAACCCCCAAAAATAACATGTAGCCAAATTCCACCAAATTCTACTGGCTCCCCCAAGTAGCCATCACCAACTCTCTGAAAGCCTCGAGTCTCTTCTGAAGTTATTTGTGACTATCTTCAGGACCTGCCCTGGCATTTCAACAAGCACTCTCTACTATTTGTCATGTCTGTATGGGGGGGGGATCCCCTTATATATACTGTAAGGTCCTTCGAGGCAGGAAAGGAGTAATAAATAAGTGGTTGGAAGGGCTGGCTCCAAAAGCAGTACATTTGGAGCTCTGCCACCCTGAGATTTGGGACCTTGCCGCCTTGGGCAAATCACTTAACTTCCCTAGGCCTCAGTTTCTTCACTTCTAGAAGAGGGGTACTAATAGCAGCTGCCATGTAGAGCTGCTCTGAGGTTAAACCAGGTACCCACCTACAGCACATGGGGTAGAGCTAAATATAGCTTTCCTACAATTACACTCATCTGCAGCTTGCACAGGCGCACATAGGATTCCGACACGTGGTTGATCCACGAAGTTGGATGCTTGCGGAGACTGCACCAAGAGCTGATGATGTTTGGATATACATGGTCTTCACACACAGCCCTGGCTGCCTGCTTCAGAAATAAAAATGATTCTTCAGTAGAATGCAGGGAAATGGCCACAAGAGGGCAGTCAAAGACTCTGATGAAATGCTAGCAAGTAAAAGCTTAAGGCTGCCCTCATTTCAGGCTTTCCTTCCATGAAGCTGCGGCAACTGGAATGAGATTGTTTTCACTTTAGTCAATGACGACCAACCAGTTAAGGAGGAAGTTATGAGGAAAGAAGGGCCATCAGTGCAAGAAATGGGTTCTAGCCACTGAAGTGAGAGTGGCCAGAAAGTAATTCTTTTCCTGTGTGGCATCCCCCTACCACCTGTCACAAACTCCTGCTGTCTGAAGTACACAGCTCAGACTATGGATTGTGAGAATTTAGACCTGTCTCCTAAATCTGGCACCCAAAGCTCATCTTGCATGTGTAAGCATTCATGAAAAGTTCGCTGCACAAATGACCACAGAAATTAGTGAGCTAGTCAACTCCTAACTCATTCCTGAAACATTAGGAACAAATGACCCGTGGGACTTTTGTGATTGTGATTCTGAAGTACAGTCCAGCAAATACATTCATTGTTTTTCCTCCCTAATTATGAAGCCAATACAGTCATTTAGAAAGTTCAAGCAATACAGAAAAGTTTAAAGATTTAAGTGCAAATTAACCCAATCTTTCAGAGCAGAGGTAACTACTTTCATGAATTTCCAGGTACCCGTGTGTATACACACACACACACACACACACACACACAGAGTTAAATAAAAGTGATCACACCATATATGCTTATAATCTGCTTTATACTCAACAATGGGTCATGGGTACTTTTCCATATTACAAAACATAGATAATTCCTTTTTAATATTCATTTATAATATAATATACTTTTTGGATGCATAGTATTCCACTATTTTTAGGTACCATGCTCTGTTAAAATACAAACATTATAAATTATTTTGCTAGAATATAAATGTTACATAGGAATGTGAAATCATTTAACCACTATGGCCATCGACGCTTTAGTTCTTACTGGACTTGTTTAACCTTAAACTGAAGACTTCATGGAGAAGTGCAAGGAAGCAATGCCCCAGAACGTGGGCACCGCTAGGGCTCAGGCCCAGGCAAGCACGGCGCCTCCAGGTGGCCGGGGAACGGGGGGCCCTGGGCTAGGGCGGAAGGAGAACAGGTTGGTGCTGAAAATGCACTTGTCTAAGTAGACATATCCAGGTCCGCTCTGCCGGACGTTTTTGGCCTCTCTCACTCTCAACCCCCAGTGCAAGCCTTAGCCAAGTTCAAAGCTGCCAGGCCTGGAGCTGCTCCAAGCAGGAGATTGTGTCCGTGTTACCCAGCGCTGGGCAGCCAGCTAATGATGAAGCTACAAGGAGGAGGGAAAACGCTCCAGATGGAAGAACTAACTCGATGGGGCGCTTACTGTGTACCAGGCTCTTCGCATTTGACAAAATTCAACATCTGTTCATGCTGAAGTTTTCACAAAAGCAGGAATAGTAGGGAACTCCCTTCACCTGGCGAGGCCGTCTGGGGAAAACCTGTGGCTGACAGGATACTTAATGGGAAGGATTAAATGTATGTTATCTGGAGACATCTTCCAACGGCCCTGTTATCCCTATTTTACAGGTGAGGGAGATCAGGCTTTCCAAGGTCAATAAACTCATCCGAAGTCACACAACCAATAAGAACCAGAGTATTCTAAGAAAGTGCCAGGCTGCTGTCAAGCAAAATTGTAATCTCTCAAGGTCTTGGGAGTACTCTAAAATTATGTCTCACCTTTCCCTATCTTGAAATTTGGATTCAGATAAATAGGGTTTAGGCAGCAACGTTGAGATATTTGGCACCAAACAATCTCACAAAGACAGTTTGAAAGATATGATTTGAAGGGAGTTAGGATGAGATTGTTGGGCCAGGACTGACCTTACTTACAGGTTTATTCTTTTATTCATTCATTCATTCATTCATTCATTCATTCATTCATTCATTCATTCATTCAATAAATGCTTACTGCACATCTACTCTGTGTCAGGCACTGGGTTAGGCCCTGGCCTATAAACACTGTTACCTCCTGGAGCCTCCAGTCTAGAAGCAGACATCAGTGATCCCATTGATTCCATTTAGCGTTTAGCCAAATGCTAAATCACAACCTTGACAGATGTCATTGGAAGAAAAAGGTAAAGGGGTAGCATGATACGAGGATTTGACCTGGTATGTGACCTCTCTGGAGTGAAAACACATGTCATCTGCCCCTTCTTATAATTGTGAGGAACAAGACTGGTGATCTGAAATCTGAAGGAAGGAATAGTGTGCTAAAGGCTCCTGTGGCAGGAGTGAGCGAAAGGAGGGGAGAGATTGAAGGAAGAGCACTGTA